GTACACGACAGGAACGCATAGTGCGAAGATATAGAAACGTGATAAAGACGTCTATGAAAAACCTTAACAACCGGTAGCATAAATGTCGATAACCACGTTTAACGTCTGCTTTCGTTCCCAGCGTCGACTATCTATTTTTAGTCACTGTTTCCAATCTGTTTCCTAAGTGCAACTTTGTCACAGGTGAAATGCAATTTGATCGTTCAGGACATTTATCTATTTTTTTTTTCCAATAACGCTCCAAGAGAAATATTCATTTATTTTATTTATGGGATGAACCGTTTTATTTAATCACACATTCTGATACGTTGTTCCCATTTATATTCCACAGGGCAGTTATTAATGAGACGTACAATTGCCGATCAGACCTGTTGCTCCTTCTTTACTCAACGTTCTGCTCTCAAGTACATTTTTACTACCGTTAATTCCTTTTTTACGACGCTTTAAAATATTTTAGTTAACCGTTCCGAGAGATCTCACTCCGCCGCGTCTATTTATATTCGCCGTAGAGACGGCGCGATAATCGATAGTAAGCAGTAATTGCCAGTGGAACGAAACGACGAGGCTCATTCACGAGCGACTGCGACTGGGCTCCCGTGAATCCTCGCGCAAATCTTCATGGCTGTAACAATTCCCGGCAAATTGAAGAGAAGAACGCGGCCGTGGTAATTCCTGTTCACAATAACGCCGGCCAACACACGTAGAACCTATCCGACTCGAGCATTCCCATGGATTTCCAATCGGAAATCGAGCGCGCGATCGTTCGTAAAGCTTTCTTAGGACTCGAACCAGCGACATTAAACGTGAACGAGAAATCCTGGAAACTATCTACGTGTCCCTGGGATCCGCCCACGCAGTTCGATTCCCATAATCAACTCGACCGTTTATTAATTGATCCTCGGTAACTTCGCGCTGATGTTTCCACCGCGGCATTGGAAATCGTGGGGCGTGAGTTCGCTCGGGTCCGGCTTAATCGCGAATCGAACAGCGAGAAACTGTTGCTTTTAATCGCGGAACCTGGGAAAGGCAGGGGAGGTGGTACGCGGACATACGTTTTAATGGTGCCCGGTCGTCGACGAGTGGCGAGCGTTAAAACTCATCAGACTGCGAGCAACGGCCCGCTTTATACTCATCGGCCGATCGTTCCCCGCGACGTACACGGAACCAGTCCTTTAACTGTCTCGCGATTGCCCTTTTTCAGACCTGGTCAACCCAGCTGCGACAGAAGTGGCTATTTATTCGATACATCTTCTTTCCTTTCGTGTTCCCTCCCAAGTGTCTAAAACTTGTTAACCCGATACGAAATGAGAGAATCATAAGTAATAATGTCTTGATCAGTACTTGTTCATTCCGTTTAATTTCTAATATTATATTTATAACGTCAAACGTGACGAATGTGTTTGTATAATATTCGCAGACGAAACAATTTTATCATCCCATCGATTACATTTTCTATTTGCATTTCACACAAGTTTTTGCCTGCCGTTAATTAAGTTTAGTTCGAACGCGGGGGTGGTAGAACCACTCGCCCGGGACAAATTACCACGATGTTTTTTGTCAAACGGAAAGATAAAATTCCATCGTTATCTACTGGCGAACTTATTTAATCCAGCCACCCACGCTTCCGCGCGTGGAAAGCCGACGGGGCTGACGTCAATTTAATAACCAACTGTACGATCTGAAAAAGCCCGAGCCGCGGAGTCGCGTTGGCAGATTTATTGCCGAGATCGATAAATTAGCATCGGCGCGTTTCGATCGCGGCCACGGATCTATTTCCGATACGCTCCTAAATCACGAGCGCGTACACTCGCTATCAGAAGTCTTTCTTTAACTCTAACTTTCAATCCTTACGTGCAATATTTATTGACTGTTAAGAAATCAGATAAAAATTCTAGACTAGAAATCGTAGAAAATCACTTTAATCGTAATCAGATAACAATTATTACTTAGCAGTTTCTTTAGATTTATTCATTAATTTCCTCTATCAAGATCTGACTTTTTCTCAGACGTCTGCTCATTTAAATATCGCAAGTACAATTCGTTTTAAGGATATCCGTGCAACGTCTTGCTCTACCGGTGTTATAATGCATCTAGAGATTTCTGAACAGGGTTGTACGCAGATAGGTAGCGTTGAATAAGTCGATATCATCGTCGATACGTGGGTGAAATTTATCTGTCGACTACCAACGACCTGTACTACTACGTACCTCGGAAAAGTTCACCGGGCGATAACGGGGAAGCAAGTAGTCAATGTAATTACGTAATATTTATGCCGCGTCGTCGTAGAGTAATTTCGCGTCTCGCTGTTTAATTTCGGACTCGGTCCGATAACACGGAGGGGACCTGTTTCCAAGTGAAAACGGCGTCGGTACAACGGCGAACACCCAGCAACCGTAGTAGAAAACGACGGATAATAAATCCGACGATCCGCGAGACGATAACGATTATTAATGAGCGCGACTAATTGTCGCGACGCGGCGAGCCGCGGTGTCGATACCCTAGCCATGCTCCCTGGACCGTGGATAGTAATTACGGAATAATGCGAGACATTTTACCCGGTGAAATTGTCGCCACCGAGTATGACTTACGGCACGTTGTTCGCAATTTTAACGCCCATTCAAGCGGTGTTACGATTCGGTAAAGCCGTTCAAGTACCTCGGCTACCGTGGTAGGGAAGGTCAGTACGCCATTATCTGGAATTTAGTGTCCATTACTAAATATCTATGTTGCATATTGCGTAAAGCTCTAGATATCTATTTTTTTTTCGTTACGGATAAAATTCGACGCGTGAGTTTTCACCGGTAGCACTCGTGCCTTAACGATCGGATATATATTATAGATATATTTAGCGCACGTTTTACATGACAGTTTTCAGCTACCTGTTTTACATTTAAAAAACACGATAATATAATCGATAACTTAAAGTGGAATCTGCTCGGTAGATCTGCCCGGTAGGCTTAATGAAATCAGTTGCATTAGCTCGAGTAGTCGCGTACGTTTGATTAAAAATAGATGATGTAAGAAATAAGATGACAGTGATAACGTCGAAGTGACAAAAACACTGATTTTAAATTCCCCTGGCCTGTTTACGATTCCCTCAGAGGAAACTGTGAACCGATTATGGGCCAAGAAATTCCACCGTTTCCCCGTGATAAAATATCGGGCAGGTGGCTGAGAGCATTCGACACCGCGAGATGTCGTAATTAAAGCAATATAAAACGGGAGAAAAAAAAAGAGAGTATAAGAAACGCGAGAGGTAAAAAAATATACATATATAGGGGAAAGGAAAAGTTGTTTAAACACCGCGCGCAGATACGTTATCTATTCGCCGCGTCGATTTACCTGTCCCGGCCCATTTTACACGCCTCTTCCTTCATTCCGAGCACACCCTTCGCTATTTGTTTCTTTAATGGCCTTCTCCTCGCTACCAACGATCGCGTTATCGCCGTATCAATCTATATGCGTGTTATATTCAATACAATCTGCTCGCCAATTGCATTACATCACGCGTGTTTCTTTCTCTTTTTCTGCAGACCGCTATCTGATAACTGGAACGAACGATCGTCCTTATCCATCCTGGCCGCGTAGCTATACTATCAGTACGTTTTTACTCTCCTGGTCCGCGAGAAAAATATCGTGGAAAAGGAGAACGAGAAGGATGATAATGTCCTTTCGTAAACGTCCGAGGAGAGAATGCTTGTACCGTCACAATTTCGAGGATATTCAAATGCAAATGGGGGTTCGTTAGCAGTACGATAAATCCTCGCCCGGTTAGTGCAATAAACTGCCAAACAAATTAATGTCGACGCTTGAATTTTACCGAAACGATACAAGGAGACAGCCATGGTTCTCCTGTTTATACCTCTCGAGGATCAACGAATTTTGAATGATTTTGTCCTCGTGCACCCTTAAACGTGTGGCCAGACGGTCTAGATGTAGATAAATCTGCGACCGTCGTTAAAGATAAGATTGTATCGACTATTCGCTAACACGGAACCTCCTTGTTTGCCGTTTGGCTGCACATTGCACGCACCACGATAAACGATCCGGTGAATTGCAATCGCGTGCGCGGGATCAATTATGTCTCCCCACTTCGCTCGGTGGCTGGCGTAAAAGAATTATTATAGAATGGAAGTATTGAGAATTAGTCAGTGATAAAATAAAAATGTAATATTTTCTGTCTACTGTTTCTCTGTTCATCGCGTTAAGTAATATATAATAATATAAATCACTTTCTCCGTAGCTGGAGGCGATCTTCAAGTCCGATGTTTAATCTTTAATCTGCAAATCGAGTAATAAGAGGGGTAATTAAATTCAATCAGTCATAATAAGTGAAATGGCATTTCGAATGAATTATACACGAGCCATCCACGCGACTTAAACGCGTTTCCCAAAGGTCTTTCGAGTAGTATATCAACGTTTTTTCGCTTTCGCGACGGTTACCTTTCGAAATCATCCGCGCCTTCCTTTCCGTTTCGTGCTTAACGCCGACCTTTCGGATAGACTCGAGCTTAGCCGAGCACCTGTGAACTTATTATATTTTTTTCATTCGCCACGGACGAAGAATTGTTGCGTCATAGAGCGTATGCTGTGGCTTTGATTAGAATACTTAGTGCAAGAAAATTATTTGCAAAGGACATTCTTGGTTATTCAACCGATCTTTCCTTGATAAATTAAGTTGTCAGGCGACACGATTACGGTGTTCGTCAATTAATGTCTTAGAGCGTATGCTGTGGCTTTGATTAGAATACTTAGTGCAAGAAAATTATTTGCAAAGGACATTCTTGGTTATTCAACCGATCTTTCCTTGATAAATTAAGTTGTCAGGCGACACGATTACGGTGTTTGTCAATTAATGTCTGTTTAAAAAAATTATTGAAATTTATGTTTTATTGTGTGTTTTATAATATGTTATATAGTATCTTTCTTGTGAAACATGTCTGTGATTGTTTTACGTAGAAATGATTACAATACTTAATAATTGAAATGTATGTTCTCAGGGGACAATTATGACTTCCACGTACTGAAAATCCATCGTACACAAAATTGGTGAGTTGTATAAAACCAGTTGTAATTACTTTTAAATTATATATATTGAAAAATCGTGAATTCGTTTATCAATTATCGTCAACATTACGTTTATTCAATTATGCAAATTTCATTTAAATTTCACTGGGACATTTGCAAATTCCTGAAATTTATGTTTGCATAAGCAAGTGGTTGAGAAAAATTTGGATTTCCGCAGCTTTCGATTGAATTATTGACTGTATCGTATGATTGATGGATTGCCTGATAAGAGGTATTCGACAGTCTTGAATGAGCGTAAATTACCGGACGAGGTTTATATGACAAATTATATGTAGACTCTTGACGTGTTGTCCTACTAAAACGTACTCTCGAGTGGTAATAAATATCTTGAATTATATTACGTGTGGAGGATTATACGGTGTGACTATCCTAAATTATATTTGGTTCGAATTACTCGCGTATCATTGACTGCGATGCGGTTTCGGTGTACATAAAATAATTATGTGTGAGATAAGGATTACATAAAATATCGATACAGGCTTTCGATTTGGTTGTGATCGATATTTATAATTCCTGATCATCTGAATATTATTAATTACTGCAATTAGAGAATATTGAAAGAACGTTCAGTATTTTAATAGTTCTGTTATAAAATTGAATCTAAAATTCCCATCAATGGATTTTTCTTTGATGTCTCATTCAACCGGGGAAAGTGTTCGCGCAAACATGTTAGAGTCCTTCTTATCGAGTTACGAAACGGATCAAAATAACAAAAGGCGAGGGTATCCGCGTCACGAGCAATTGGACACGAACAGTGGATCCGTCCGAGGAAAACGAATACGGTTCCATCATCGACGACTGAGAAGTGAGTAAAGGGGCTAACAAAGAGCGACGCGAAGAGGGAATCGATCGGGTGATTACCATAATTTGTATATGAGTACCACCTGGAAGGTAACCCGGACGAACACGGATCCCCTTTTACACGTCCCCGACCTCCTTCGGCCACTTTCACCCCACAGCCCTTCCTCTGTCTTCCTTTCCCGAAGGAAGGTATGCCGCGTCGCGACGACCAGGCGAACGCGGCACGCCTGCTCTGCCGTCGTCCTGAAGAAAAACAAGTTCGTTGAAAAGCAGCGGCGATCGCGTCTCTCTCGAGGAGAATCGTTCGGTTTGGTTCAGAGATCGGTTCGAGTTATCGAGGGGAGAGCAGAATTCTTCGAAGTTTTTTCGCCCGTTGCTCGTATAGAAATCGCCTAGAACGTTTTGCGCACGTCGACGGTTTTCGCGACGGATGTACCCGTGGCTTGGCGCGAAACGACGTCGTTTCACCACTTCGCCCTGACGAATTTACGCTCCGGCGAGCAAAAGCGTGTGTCGACTGTCCGCTCGCATAACCGGCGACGCCGATAAGCGGTAGAACTTTCAACTTATCATCTCGGAACGAATTAACTTTTCTCTACGCTTGGATCAACTCGATTTTCCGCGAGTTAGATAAACGTTCCATACTCGTTTTGATCTTATACATAAAGATATAGTACAGTTTCCGAAGACAGTAATACAAATCTTGAAGTGTCAAGATTAAAAACATGTTAAATCCTGAACTCGCGATATATAAAAAAAATTCTTGTGGGATACTCGTTATCAGATATTAATTTTCAATCATTTCCAACAACATTTGTATTTCCTTCGAAATTTCATTAGTACGAAAAATTGAGCTATCAATTAATGTGAGCGGAGTGTCGATCTTGCGCAAGCATCTCTGTCAGCCTCACAGAAAGTTTCCACACGATTTGCATATCGAGACTGTTGCAGAGGACGCGTTGCGTTCCAGAGAAAGTTTCGGCACGCGTTATCGCGAACGCGCGTGCTACTCTCGCCGGTAGCAGTCCAATAAAGTAGGGACTTAATTTCGCGCGAGATAAAAGATAAGGAAACGTAGAACGGGAAAAATGGTGCGTGTGATTTCCTTGGAAATGGAATACAGTTTTATCTTTAATTGGCACGACGGGCGGAGCGGTTACGCGAGCGCTTAATGCGTAATGAGGAAGGAAGCTTAGGGTGTTCGCAGTTTGCGTAATTAAACCGATTTTAGTCTCCAAATAGAATTGCCGATTCGGCCAGATTTTATATATCAGTATCGCCGGTTTATGGTGGCAACAAATTAGTGACAGCCTTGAAGAACGCGCTACAATTTCGAAACATAAAAATCCACTTTAAGCTTCGTTTTCGCGTATTCAGATCGTAAATTGAAAAGATACCTATCGAGAAAAAAGGCAACGGCGAGGAGAAAGATCGAAAAGCGCTAGAGGCGGTATCCTTCGATCCGTCTCCACGCATTAAGTCGCGCAGCGATAAATCAAAAAATCCCGGGAAAGGTCAAGGCGCTCGTTACTTCGCCGAGTTGACAGTGTCCAGAGATTTTTACGAGCATCCGTGAACACCGTCGTGCATCGTCTCCCTGTCCGCCGAAGTATATTTTTTTTGTTCGTTTTCGGAGGGGAACGATGACGACAGGTTCACGGGGAGCACGCTTAGCCGTCTCCATTCAATATCCCCGACAGTCGTTGACGCGCCATCGTCCATTTCGCTTTATGCGCCTTGTCTACTTCTTCGAACGCAGCCAGACGTTTACTAATTCAACCGTAGATGCTATCGCCGCGTTATCATCGAAACGAACTTTGAACCAATTCCTCTATTTCTTGTTCACCGTCATCCCTCCTGATTACGATCTTCGACAGACCTGGATTTCAACGGACGCGGTAAGCCGAGACCTCGACGCGATCATATATCAATCGTTATAGCCACGTAGCTACGTTGCGCGAATAAATATAATTATAAGTAAGAGCAAGGCTGGACCACGCCCTGTCTCCGCTCTGCTCTCTTTTCATCTTTCTCTTCTCTCCCGGCTGTCTCTATTCCCCGACGCGAGTGCACGCTCGCGTATCACTGTGCACTGCACGCTATCCTTGCGCTCTCTTTTTCAGTTTTTCTCTCTTACCATCTCCCATCTCCGTTCACCCCGTCGGCCTCTAGTTACGTTTATTCTCGCGCTCGCTCTTCTTCCGAGTTTCACGTGCTTCTCTCCATCTCCGTTTTGCTCCCTTTCGCTACGAGCCTCTCTCTCTCTCTCTCTCTCTCTCTCTCCGATCTAACGCTCCTCGGTACAGAGTTTCTTTCTATCTGGTTCTCTTCGCTGCCCCTTTCCCGGTTTTCCTGCTCCGTCCTCGTCCAGCACGCGCGCTTCTCATTGAAACCACGCTGCCCCGCACAATAAATGGGTTTATATAGCTCCGGTTAGGTTCCTTTTCTCCTATCCTCTACGCTCGCCCCAGGCATGGACGATCGATTTCGATCGCCACTGACGGCTACATTTTTTGTTCCCCTTTCGCCAACTTCTAATCGGTCATCCAGGGATTCGCGTTCAGATTCCTTTCTTACGAAATAATTGGAGAGGCAAAGATCCGAATGAAGAATGATCGAACGTATCCCCGGGCGTCCAATAATCCAATCAAATTTTTCAATTCGCTTACACCACCCTTGCAAACGACGTGCCCGTTCGTCACGCGAACATGCAACCGCTCTATGCTCTAGAACTCGTTCCGAAAGCAGATCATCGGCGAACTATCGTCGAGGTAATGTTCACGCTCGCTCGAACATCCTCGGTACAGCCCTCGAACATCGTGGCCCGTGCGTCCGAGCGAATAAAAAAAGTGGACGCCTTATAAAAGGCGTATACACAGACGGTACAACGCGGACTACCTAACCGCGTGGCGTACGCGATACACGTTATCGTCGTGCACCGCGACATGCATAACTCTCGAAATACCAATACTCATCGGCTGCGAAACACGGATGGAAAGGGAGCGCCGCGTATGGAACGGGTATTATACATACCTACGCTCATGAGTGTATAAATCAGGAAGAGAAATGCCGGCCGCGTATTTTATAAGCCCGCCGCACGCTAACAAGATCGCGTTAATGTAAATCGAGTGAAAAACGTTTCGCTAGACCCGCAGGATATTGCGTATCCACGGTAAACGATGCCCGATCCGGATGACAAAGAGGATCCTCCAGCGGTTCGCCTTTTTCCCTCGTCGAACGATTTCCCTGATCGATTTGCCAGCTTCAGTTAATTTCCTCTGACGTATTTTTCCGGACAAAGAGATTAGAAATTATAACGAGTATGGAGATATAAAATTGATAAAAAAAAAAAGGATCCAGTTCTTATATGTTGCGTTTTATGACAGAACATATTATAATTCTTGATTTGTCATAAATTATGATAATTAAAACGACATGTTCAAACGCATTGGCCTGGAGAATTTGATGAATGCGCTTGTGAAAAATTCGAGATGGATCGCAGTTAGAATATGTATAACATTTTCATTTACTTTTTGTGTAGAAAGCAATATTAGACGTTGCTGTAAATCAGTCGATTCGCAATCTGATCGCGTGTCGTTGCAGTTAACGTTAACGGGCATGCAAATCGACGTCTTGATCGATGCGACGATGTCCGGCTGGATCTAGTTTCGCTCCGATCACGTTGAATTAGCGCTCGCCGCGTCACGACGTTCGAATAAGTTCGCGATTATGCCTGGCTAACCCTGCCACTCGCGTGCATGAGTTATTTTGTCGTCCATCCAGGAAACGCGTCGTGTGAAACGCGCTTACCCTTTCGGTCGAACGGCTCGGCGCCTGTTTAAAATTCTTCGCACGCTCCCTCCGGTGAGTCTTCCTTATTTTGTTATTACGCGCGCAATTAGGGTAACGAGGTGGGAAATTGAGTGGGTTGTAAACAACCGTGAGCGTCTTTTTGTTAAACACGATTCAGAAGTTTTCGCTTTATTTTAATCGGTCCGTCGATGTTTAATAAACCGACGTCTGACTTCCAAGTACGTAAGTCATAAAGTCGAGTCGCGGCGGTGAAAAAGCATGCATTGTGTACACGTATCGCTTGAAACGTCCCCAAAACGGGAAGGAACGTAGAGGGAGGACACGGATCTCGGGGGAAAAAAATATAA